GAAAGGAAGAATATTTTCAGTCATGTGTTTGCCTTATCGTACTTATTTCATTTTCTCGAGTACGAGAAGTTTGCCTTTAATAGACTGCCGGGCATAGAGAACTTTGCCTCAAATGACTGATGGMTGTTTTGCGTATTTTGTGCCGAGGCCAAAAGAATTTGCTGAAATTCCAGCCCTATTACTAGTAAACTGAGTTCACGSTAGGCTCTTGACATTTCTCAATAAATATATAGCGGTATGGTTTATTCGTCTTGTGCATTTGGCACGCTTGATTTTSACAAAGTTGAGCCACTTCTTCCGTCTTTTTCTTGCTTCGTGTCGTCGTAGCTCGAGGGTCGATTGACGATTCTCTTCAAAGGAAGAATATTTTCATGTCTGTAATCGTGATTGTTTTATATTTCATTTTCTCGAGAAATTTAGACTACCGTGTATGTACATAGTCTTTCGCGAGGTAAAAATTTCGAAGTGCCTCAAATGACGATTCCCTTCAAAATATCTGGCCTGTTCCTGCAGCCACCAACAACGCACTTGATGGGCATTTCATTCGCGAAAGAGCATAAAAATCGATGTTAAATAAGATTTTTGGAGATGACTCGCGATAAAATCCACTGTCAAGCTTCGATAACAACAAATGCCTTGTCCTGGGATGACGTCAGAGTCAGTCCCAGTCTTTCCCGGTATTGAACCAAAAAAAGAGCTCAAAGTGGACATTTTCGTATGTTTGTAAGCTCACCAAAAATTCGCTTTTTKATAAAAATGAAAAATTCTTTCACAGATACGTTTCCATTAACCTCAATTTTCATTTTAAAGATTAAAAAAAAATCGTGAAGGTGCACTTTAAAAGAAGCGAACATAATATTAAAATGCGATGGACTGGAGTTTAATAAAGCGCTATGGCTGGTTTCAATTAACCTGTAAATACATTATTGAGGAAAACATCCTCGGCCATCGCTAATTTGAGACGGAGACACTTGCTACACAGGAATCACCGACAAATAAAATAAAATTGACTCCTGTAAAAGCCAACTGAGAAAGCTCGAAGAAGCGAACGCAATGTCTGACATGTAAACGTTAAAATGCAATGTTCGAGGCTCAACTAACAGGTAATCTGCGAGAAAATCTAGAAAATACAAACGCTTGGACAAATCGACAATAGTCTCCTTCACGGTTACCTGCGCCATCATCGAAGCGAGACAACCGTTGAGCGTGCAATGATAGAAACCT